GGGCGACGGTGGGTGGTGGTGGTGGTGGTGCTAGTGGCGGCGGAGATGGCGGCGGCAACGACTGGTGATAGTCATGATAAGATGGTGGTAGTAAAAGTAGTGAAAAATCATATTTTGAGAATAAAAATAATATATCTATCAAAATCTCTAAGGGGAAGCAAAGATTTGTCATGGCCTAAAATTAGTCTATTATCAAATGAAATTCACCATTTTTTGCATTTTCTTTAAAATCAATGAGTTTTTTGAATATACTCAAACTTTTATGAAGTCTTTTAAAGTCATGATTGAATATATCCAAATTTGAATGGAGTTTAAAAAGTCTGAATTGAATACACATAAACTTTTAAACTTCTTTAAAATCTTTTAAAATCTAAATTGAATACACCCCCCTTAAGAGCAACTCCACCCATTTGCCCTTTGCCATGGCAAGGGGGAACTAGGGCAGGCACTATTCATGTGAATAGTATTCTTGCCCTTGCAAATAGTATTTTGTGTTTCCATCCATTGTCATGGCTAAGGGCAGTTACTATTCATTTTTTTTTGTCTTTTTCACAAATTTTTTTATCTCAATAATTAATTCGGATAATATTTTCGGATAAAATTTTCGGGTTCCTACGTGTCAAGACTATTCATAATCAGATAAAATTTTCGGATAAGATTTTTGTGTTCAAATTTCGGATGAATTTCAAATTTCAAATTTCCGATAAATTTGGGTTCAAATTTCGGATGAATTTCAAAATTCAAATTTCAGATAAATTTCAAATTTCAAGTTTCGGATGAATTACAAAATTCAAATTTCAGATAAATTTCAAATTTCAAATTTCGGATGAATTTCAAATTTCAAATTTCAGATACATTTCAAATTTCAAATTTCGGATGAATTTCAAATTTCAGATAAGATTTTCATCCAATCAAATCAAGCCACGTGGCATCTCTATCTGGACAAAATTTTCTATAAATTCAGAGGTTGAGCTCATACCTCTCACACCACATCTTTCTACATTTTCATTTCTGAGAGTTTAGAATTCATACTCCATTCTCAAATGGAAGATTTTAGGAGATGCTTGGAGAGGCAAGAGCGAGAAACAAATGAGAGAAACCGTAGAGCAGATGAAATCAATGAGTTGCAGAGACAAGTCGATGAACAAGTTGTCATAGCAGTGGCTTTGCAAGATGAAGAGAACCAACGTCGCCGCCGTGGCTCAGAAGTCGGCCGTCGCCGGAATGTGGACAGACATAGGCAGTCTCGGGGTAAGAATCTTTTGGAAGATTATTTTATCCCAACTTGTTTGTACTCTGATGTTGATTTTCGAAGGCGATATAGACTGCAACGCCATTTATTCAATAAAGGGAATCGATAGGTGAATCCGATGGCATTGAATCACGGAGTGGTGTCTCGTTTAACATAACGTCGGGACCCGTGGGAATGATTCTGAAGCGTTTGCAATTTTTCACCACGTCCCAACATTCATGATGGTTGAAACTTTTTTTGCCTTGCCCAATTGCACCAAACCACATCTGTGCTTGAATCATCTATTTAAAAAAAATTAATGGACATTAAGAAATATTTAAAATATATTGGATATGCAAGTAACAAAAATAAAATAATGAAACAACATATTGAAAATGCAAGAAATATTAACAACATATTGAAAATGCAAGAAATATTAACAACATATTGAAAATGCAAGAAATATTAACAACATATTGAAAATGCAAGAAATATTAACAACATATTGAAAATGCAAGAAATATTAACAACATATTGAAAATGCAAGAAATATTAACAAAATATTTAAAATGCAAGAAATATTAACAAAATATTGAAAATGCAAGAAATATTAACAAAATATTGAAAATGCAATAAACATAATATATATATATATATTAGGACATTAAACTTAATAAAACTCAAATTATAAAATACTTACCTCGTTACTAAGATTTTCCCCGCTTCTACGGTTGTCCATCGCTTTGGCCAAGGCATCCCTCCATTTTCCCAACTCTTTATTGAGAATTTTCCACCTACTAGACAATGCCATTTCCGTACGAGTCGACCCCGGAATTTTTTCACCAAATTCGGCATGAATTTTTTTCCACATATGAAAAAATTTCATCTCATTGCCTGTCACGGGACAATGACAAATTTGGAGCCAAGCCTCACATAAGGAAACATCTTCCATGGTGCTCCACGCCCCTCCGGTTTCGATTGAAGAAGCCATAAATATAAGAAATAAAAATACAATTTGAAAGAGAGGAAAATGTTGAGTAAAGAGTGAATAATAGTAGAAGTAGAAAAAAATGTATGAGGATTGGTGTTGAAAGTGAAGGGTATCGAAAGGTATTTATAGAGAAAAAAAATTCAGAGTATTTTGATTTTTTTTAAAAAAAAATTCGATTTTTTTTCATAATTTTATTGCCAAAAAAATGCCAGCCGTTGGATTGGAGGAGAGAAGCATATCGGAGCGCCCAGGGGTTGACAGCTGGCTTCTGCCCGTTGGAGCTCGCGCAGGGCTGACGTCAGCGCACGCGAGTTCAAATTTTTTTTACCGTTGGCGCGTGAATTGCACGCGCCAACGGTAAAAAAAATTTCAACTCGCGCGCGACGTCAGCGTGACGTCAGGCGCACGTCATCAGCCCTCGGTTTGGGTCTCGAGCGGAACTGGCCTTCGGGCCAGCCTGAGTTCGTGGGTCCCACTCCCCCCCCCGGGCCTGGGCTCCTCGCTGGAGGCTCCTTTTTTTTTTGCCTCCCCCCAGCCTTGGGCTAGGCTGAACGGTGGAGTTGCTCTAAGAAACCAGCCCTAATGTTCATTGTGGAAAGATTATAATATAATGTGCAACTCATCTTTTTTTTTTTTTTTAAAGACCTTTCCTATTAAGAGGGGCGATACCATATTAAACTCACACACATTATACGGATGCTAGGACTCGAACCCAAGACTTTTGCTTCAAACCACTACACTAAGTTGGCCTTTAATTGATATTTTAATGTATTCGGTTGTGCATATAATGGCTATAGACAAAGCTTAGCTGCGTCAGAAGGATATTATCACTCGGCCTATGTCAAAGCGATTCGCGACAATCTAACCTTATATTTGTTTGTTATTTATTTATTTGTTTATTACAACGTTGATATTTATTTAGTTGGGAAAACATGCACCAAAGTCTGCCAGAATGGTCGGTTCTGAATGTTTTTGTTTCAGAATCTTGACTGTTATCTGCTTTATTTTTATTGAACATATTCTCTTGAACCTCTTGTGAAGATCTTAATAAATTGTTGAAAGAACATTTAAAAAAAAAACGAATTTGCATGAAACTAATGTCAAGTTGATCACTTCTCACTTCTCACTTCCTACAATTGCATTCTTTTTTATTCCTAAGCCTCCATACTCTGCCAGTTTCAGTTTTAGGATTCTTTTATGCATTTTCGGAGCTCGGAATCCCGTAATTTTGTGGCAATATTTAGCATTCACTTTGGTTTTTATTGCTCGAATATTTTGGAATCCCAAAAGCAGAGCCTGGTTACCAACTCTTAACTGGGCCAAGGTGATGAAAAGCCCAATTGACATGGGAGATTTCCATGATTCCATAACCCTTGGAAAAAATAAAAATAAAAATCCTTCCTTGCCTAGCACACCCAAAAAACAAAAACAAAAGATTAACAGCAAAGCCCTAATCTTTAGGTATGGAGAAATTAAGCAGCCAACCAATGTAATTATGTAAGAGTAACAAGACAGTTGTTTTTTTGGGTCGAAGTAACAAGGCACCTTATGTTATGGCCAAGTGTGCTCTTACAGTTAGTTTTGACATGTTTGAGGAAAAACCCAAATCAATGTTTGTCTATTGACTCGTGGAGTATTATTCTACTGTTACCCATTCTGGTAAACATGGCATCGAGTTTTTCACCTTTTCATCTTTGTGTTAAGATGTTAAGATAAACACAAATCAAGTGGAAAAGAGGACCACAAACACAAACTGCAAGTCATAGTTTTAAGTTTTGTATGTCAGCAAAGGTTAGTTACCGGTTACCACAAATTAGTTACCGCTGCCTCATAATCAACCAAATTTTGACAGCTCATTTCTTATCTAGTGGGCCAAAGGGATTTCCACAGAAATGATGCCAGAAAATTCATAAGTGTTTTACTTCAGCAAAAAATATAAGCAGGTCTTGTTTTGCTCATCTTACTTTTACCTCTCCGTCCTCGTCTTTCAAAGTCACGGACCCAACTTTGAAACCATGAACCATTCATTGAAGGCAGTCTTAAGAATCTAACCTGCTGCACACTGCGAAGGGAAAGTCCAACATACTGCCATTTGCTGCACCATTTCTTCGGCAATTGTCACATCCAACTGACCTTGGATTCCAATTAAGCATTGAAAAAGTATCATCATCCCAGCTTCACAGGTCTGACTTTCAAAAAGATAACAGACAGTGTGACCAAGTTCTGGACTTTTATTAATGAAAAGTTGAAAACAATTTTAGTAAACTTGATGATCCATTAAAAATAATAATAATAATTCACAATAACAAATGGGAAATCCACGCCTACTACATATTATAGTAAATTCCATATGCTTAAATATTTATTGAACCCATGAGGGCTTGTCGAAAGTACAGAAATCATCACTGGATTCAATTTGTAAAGCCAAAGACAAGCATGAATGATAACTGGGAACCATCATCTAAAGGTATATGAACTATACACACATGCCCCTCCAACCCAACCATAACTCTATCCACCCTCAATAAATTTGTGCTTCTCCTCTCTATACACCGAAAAACTGACTCAGCGAGCGGCATCAACTGAATGCCAATGGAGATGACCATAGTGCTTGCTCATATGAGAATCTTATATATTCATATAGAAGTGGCCTCTGCCTGGCTTCCTCTGCTCCGGTGGTGATGCTTTCCATGGCGGCGTCTCCCTTTCCCGAATGTGACGGGGTCAAACACTCGCAGCCTCTCAGCTTCTTGGGGATTAATCACACACTCTGAAGGAGGAGACTTGTATCGGATTCTGTCATAGCAGTAGGAGTATGTCATGTGCTTCTTCCTGAAACTATCCATTTTAATTCTTTGTAGGCGTGTAACACCAGTAGGTACCGATTCCGAACTTTGGGTCTTATCACACTTCTTTGATAACTGTTCAATTGGATCAACTGCACAGCCGTGTAGAACAAGGTCAGAGAACTCGGCCAAATACGGGGCATACTTGTAATTCACTCTGTATTTTCCCCCATTGGTAGCCCAATCAGATCCATCCCATATTGTGGCATACAATGACATTGGCTTAGAGGGGAAGTCACCACCCATAGATTCTGTTCTCTTAACCTCTCTAATGGGAACATCGTCCACATAAAATCTGTAAGTAATAGACATTGGAAACAAGAACACAGTTAAAATCTCAGTTACATAACTCATAAAGAAAACATAACTTTTTTCTCTTTAGTTTCTCTATAATCACTAAGAACAACAACTTCCCTATAATTATTCCATTTTCTTCTAGTTCCCCTAAAACCAAAACTTGCATCAACTAAGCCTAGTGGTTGTAGTAGTCTCAGTCAACCCAAAATCTGGTTGTATCTGTCCCTTAAACTTAGAATCTACCATTCAAACCAAAATTCCCTAGACCCTTTCTTTTTTCTTGAATCAGAAATTAAACAGAGCATCAGCTACCACACGACAACTGGTTTTGATGAAACAAGAGGCTGTATTATGGGGAGAAACAGAGCAAGTTCTGTACTGTATTTACTAAAAGGAGAAACCCTGCCTCTGCCCCACAGCAGAGGCATCACATCAAACCCAAAAAACAGTAAACTCCAGACTTCAGAGTAAATGATATTATTAGTGACAATAATGGGAAAATATGCTTTATAAAAAGATGATATGCTGTAGATTTAACGTATTAATCTAAATTTAGTGCGGTGAGTTTTGATTGATGCTCACATGATCTGAGAGTCAGTCCAGAGAATACTGTACTGATGGAAATCATCAGAAGGATCAAACCAGAGATTGTATCTCTCTTCTCTGCCGGTACTGGTGCTTCCATTGCCATAAACATTGGTCTGAATCCTCCATTCTTTGCCTCGTATATTCCCCAAAAACTCAAAATCAATTTCGTCATGGTTCTTCGGAAACATGTCACCATTTGACATCTGTTAAAACATAAATTAGATTAGAACAAGCTTTTAAAAATAAAAATAGAAACTTAACGGTCTAATGGAAAATTTTAACACAAAAGAAAAAAAAAAAAAAAAAAAAACATACGCGTGGATGGAAATTTATACTCATAGGATAAATAACGAAATTTATTTGTTTCAATAGGACGAACCTTGAACATAAATTCAAGGAAAGAAAATACTCATCTGGGTGTAACCAGGTTCATTTAAAGTTTTGAACTTCACGTCATGAAATACACATTCAAGGAAGAAATTTAAGAGCAGCCTATCTGGGTTATCAAATACTCTGTGTCGAAGGCTGAGGAGAACACAAGTTTGTATCGTGATATTGATAGGATTAGATCTCTAATATTTTCTTGACTCGAATTGCCACCAAAAATAAAAGTACGGATTTTTTTGCTGACCATAAAAAATCAATCTTTACTGAAACAACAAAGTATTACTGTAAACTGGAAGATTAAAATCTGGGTCAGAAGAATGAAAGAATCAGGCTGTCTATTTATCGGAGTCTAAACTACAACAAAGAAAAAGGAAAGGAAAATGAAAATTTTTAATTTTTTTTAAAAACACTTATCAGATGGAAAGCAGGATTACTCACATAAAAGGCAACAACAACTCCAGCAGTATAATCAGCGGGCAACTTAATGGAAGCACTGAAAAATCCATGATGGTAAAGGTCCTGAGAAACAAATCCAGACCCTGTACACAGACAAAGCCACCAAGAAGGAAAAAAAACAAAAACTTGGTCAAAATCCCATCAAGAAACGCCACCTCAAAACGAGCAAGCAAATCCATTTCACATGATACACGAGACCAGGAGCAACCAAGCGAAACACACCTGTCCGTTCGTCCAGTGAGAGATGAACGGATTTCCCATCTCTAAGGATCATGAGGTTGTCGTCTCCAAAAAGCTTGTTATACCCTTCATCAAAGGATATGATTGGTAAATTTCTGGATGAAGCAGAAGCAAGAACTCCTAGAACAAGCACATGGTAAGCACAGACAAATAATCCAAGATGAGAGAAACCCATCTTTCTTTTTCTTTTTCTTCTATTTGGGTCCAAAAATTAAATGGTTTTTCTTCTTTTGCTCTGGTTTTCCTTTCTTCTGAGTTTTTTAATTGTTTGTGAGAGCTATATATAAGAAGGGGAAGAAGAAGGGAGAGGAGAGGCAAAGATAGAAAGAGAAAGAGGTGTGTGGGAATATCTCTACAGCTATGAGAGACAGAGAGAGCCGAAAAGGCTAATGAGAGAAGGAAGACAAGGCCAAGGGCAAGTCATTTTATTGCTGAGTGTGAGTGGGAGCTGTTGAGCTGTGTTCTGTTCATATGCACATTGCACCGGACACCCTTTTATTTTTTTATTTTAAAATATATATATATTTAAATTTTGTTTACGTTATTCTTTACAAAATTATTATCGCCGCGTACCTTTAATAAGACGAGGGGTCTCTGATATATAAATAAATAAATAGGACTATGGGGTTCTTTTCCATAAAAGTAATGTTATTCTTACCATATTTCTATATCACTTTATGTGGCATATGAAGTGGATAACAACATTAATTAAAAAGTATTAATAAATTATTAAAAAAAAATTGTTTAATTTAATTTAATTGATGTGACCGTCCACTTCATCTGTCACATAAAGTGGTATGAGAATGTGGTATACAAATGTGATAAGAGTAGTATTATTCTTTCTGTAAATTGCCTATCAAAATCCCTAATTAAAGGCTATATATATATTTTTTTAAACTTAATTAAGGGTATTAAATGGGTAATTTAGTTTAAATTAATAGAATATAACTCTATAATATATCGAATCTATGGATATAAATGAAATTTTTATTAAATATTTGACTGAAGTGTGGATTACCTAAATTTTTGTCTTCAATAATGCCTTGTGTATACGATATATTGAGTGAAATGCGTAACAATTGTTTAATTAAATTATTATAAATAAACCCAATTCTAGGCATGTATTTATAAAAAAAAACCCACACACTATTTAAATATAGAAACACACCCAAAATCAACAATTGTATATTTTTTGGGTGTGTTTATAAATGGGTTTTGAGTGTGTGTAATGATGGGTTTTGGGTGTGTTTATAAATGGGTTTTGAGTGTGTGTAATGATGGGTTTTGGGTGTGTTTATAAAGTGTTTTGGGTGTTGGGTTTTTTTTATAATTTCAGCCCCCATTTTAGGTGTTTTAGTGAAACCCCCTTGTTTAATATAAGTGATATGTTTTGTCATCAATCCACACTATACCCAAAATATATACACATAAAATTTCGACCCATACAAAATAATTACGAGATTAACTATGTAATTAACTAGTCATATTATATACAATTTTATTACAAAAAATAATAATCTTTGGTGATGGTGGTGTGTTCTTATTTATTCACCTTTCGGGTATTTATTTTTCTGTTTTGCAATGGTTTGTTTGTATGTAGGGGTTGGTGATTGTTATAAATGAAATTATAATTACGCGTTTACTGGTTTGGTAAAGAAAGGCTCTAATGCTCATAAATAAATAAAAACAGCTGTAACAACATTCATTTCATCTAGTAAATCCGTTGCTTTTTGGCAAACTGTTATTCCTGATCTCATAAAATATGGAAATATTTTTACTCACCACTTTAATCTAAGGTGCATGCTCATCATCATTCTTAATACTTGACACGTGTCCATAGACATAACTATAGTTAACTTTTTACTTTGATTTATGTAATCATGGTTATGTTTATGGACACATGTCAAGTGTTGAAAAAAGTGGTGACCATACACCTTAGGTTAAAGTGGTGAGCAAAAATGCTCTCATAAACTATTGGATAAGTTTTTTAGAGTTTAATTCAGCCTTGAAATAGGGGTGTGCGAGATTCAATGCAATCCGCCTAAATCGATCGATTCAATCCAGTGTAATCCAATTTTGATCGGTTTTGATTATTTAACACATCGGTTTGGATTTTTAATTTCTAAAACTAACATGATTGGATCGGATGACGAATTTACTTGTGAGAATCTAATCCAAACCAAGCTAATTAGTTTCATGCTTATTTTTCTCGTCTTGGTTTTTGTAATTGAAAATGTTAGAAATATTTTCAATCATTTGATGGAGGTATGTTTAATATATTAAAAAATCAAAATAATTTTATGTATCATTTTATTTATATTTTACATTTGCATATATTAATATGTTTGATTATATTGAACCCAACAATAAATATTTCATATTTCATTATTTTCTTTTTTAATTATCAAAACCAATCATGATGATTGTATTGAAAAAATCACAGTCCAATTTATCTTGGATCGGATATGAATTGGCTAAATTATATTGGTTTCGAATTGACGCACACCCCTACCTTGAAATATATGACAAATATTATTTTGGACCATGTGTTTTTTGTCATGGACTAAGATATATATTAATAAATAAATATGCGTTGTAATATGAGTTAATTGGTAACCTCATGTAGCAGTGTAATGGTCACAATAAGGAAGCATTGGGTAGAAAATGAAAACGATAATTTTGTGTTTTTAGTTTTTTGTACATGAGTTTGAATTTGTTTTTAGAAAACAATTCTAGTGAAAATGAAAACGACATACTGAACGTGTTTTGATAGAAAATGAAAATGGGGCCTTGAAAACGTTACCGAACGGCCCCTTATTGATCTAACAATATTATTCTCGAGTTTGTTAGAATAAATTCCAGATTTGGACATCTCTACACAAAAAGGAAAATTGCTAACCGATTACTCTAACATGTATGGCAATAGTTGGACTTTTTCATTTTCATTTTCTCAATGGAAAGATACAACATAATTACAGTCCAACATACATCCTCCCTCCCCCCCCCCCCC